CGCTACACCTGGTTTTTTGCGCTCTAGACTGTTGCTACCAGTAACGTAACATATAATAATTTTTACTAAACAGAAAAAGAAAATTGATAATATTGTTATTCTCTGTGTATTTAATCAAATAAAAAGACTTCTTTCGAAGTAATTCCTCGTGACGAAAGCGAACACGAAACAGTTGATATCAATTTTAAAAAATCATTACGGTGCGATTCTGAAATTAGTTGGAAGAATGCAAAAAAAGCAAATCCAAATCGCTCCGAAATGATTTTTTAAAATTGATATCAACTGTTTCGTATTCGCTTTCGTCACGAGGAATTACTTCGAAAGAAGTTTTTTTATTTGATGTCAGTTGTTTTGTACCCGAAAAAATTTTTCTCACAAAACCAACCAACACTAAACAAACACAAAGTGGTGTGTATTGAACCAAAGAAAATGAAACATGAAATGTTGTAGTTAAAAACCAGCATTGTCGCGTTTTTGAATAAAGCGAAATCAGCGCGTAGGTAGGAAAGCATACTTATGAGCGTGTGCATTCAAGTTCGAGTCGCACACCGGAGGGAAAAAAATTTAAATTTTTTTTCGTTAAATAAAATTTGGTTTTTGGACAGACAGATGAAATTACATTTTGTTTTGATGAAATTACATATCGCTTTTATACTAAGAAACTATCACATGTTTAGTTTTTTCATGATGAATTTTTTTGATTTTGATTTTTTCATGAAAAGTACTTTTTTGTGTTTTTTGTTGATTGCGTGGAATAAAAAGACTTGGTGAGGGGCTGGTATCTGCAGGAATATTATTCATTTGAACGCAAAAACACTTTGGGTTGATGAGTTTTAGTTGATTTTTGTCGATTTTTCATGTTTTTTCCAATTTCTAATGGCTATATCTCGAAAAACAGAGTTTTCCCAGATATAAGCTATATGTCAAATTTTAGCTCTAATTTGGGGCTATATTTGAGGCAATTTTGAAAAAAACGTCGGAGCGGTTTTCGATAAAATGGCCGATTGGTGCCAGGCCAGGTGACCATTTTTTGGGTTTTCAGCCCATAAGACCATGCTTACTTGATTTCTCAAAGCTCAAATAGGTGCCATTTGATAGCTGGCCTCAAGACCTTTCCAACGATACCAAAAAGTTTGAAATCGGTTGACTGGGTTAGGCACAGTGATCATTGGAAAGAAGGCCATTTTTTGAATTTTCAAAGGCCGGCCAAGGCCAAGATGGCGGCCAAATCAAAAAGTGGCGGAACAAAAAGTCTTAATTTTTGATATAGTTCAATGCCTGAAAGTTTGAAAAAGATCGGACAAAAAGTACGGACGGACGGACGGACGGACGGACGGACGGACGGACACACAGACAAAACTATTATCTCAGAATAATTGATGGAGACGGCAAAGAAAATTTTCAAATGGCCATAACTCATGAACTGATGGTCCGATTTCGACGTTCTTGGTTTTGTTGGAAAGGTCTCGACGAGAAGCTTCAGAAAAACTCCAATTGCTCCAAATTTTTAAGTGGCCATATCTATGGAGACGGTTGGTCGATTCCCAAGTTTGAATGCATTTTCTGGGCCTATGAGCCAAGGGCTTTCTGACGATACTTCATTTATACCAGATGGCCTCTTAGAAAAAAAGTTCGAAATTGCGTGTATATATAGGCGAGTTCGACTTTTAGCACAGAGGTGCTTTCGTCACTCGCGCCTGCTGTCGCCGGCTGTGATGCTTTACCTCGATGCTGACAGCCATTCTTTTTTATTATATCTTGGCCGTTTGAAGTGGGCACTAAAAAATTCAGTGGCGAACAATTTCATTTTAATAATATCGAATACTCGCGTCTGGCGGCACTTTGTACGGATATGATTTGCACAGCTGGATACCAATTTTTTTCGATTCTAAGGGCCCTCCGAATAAGTTGGATTATAACATCCAGGTGAAAACAGAATGAAAAAAAAATTAAATCTTTGAAGCAATTAACATTTAATTAAGTGAAATTTCAAAGAAATTTCATCACGTTCAGTTAAATTAGGTTTATACATTCACCCAAAGTTGCACAGTGTCGGCACATCTACTCAAGCAAACTCCATCAGAAAAAAAGGATCCTTGATTGAAGTGAACAATTTTCGATATAGATTCCGTGAATATTCAAATTCTTGCGTCTTTTTTCGGTTTTGTTTCCAGCTCATTTGCAACGATGATGTTACCAAATTGATACTATCGATGTTATTTATGGTTTTTATGGATATCAAGCGTGTTTGAGAAAGAGAGGTTTTTCCGAATTGAAGGTGATTTAGGACCATATGAGATGCTATCAAAATGAAATATATATATGCATAAACAAATATTGTTTACGGTCATGTTGAATGGAAAACGGTCTTCTTTTTCCGCATTTAACACTTTGTTTTTTGTTCTCGTTCCGGATTGACTACGTCGCATCGAAACATTGTGTATTTCGTGGTGGTAGCAACAGGCAGTAAACGACAAACATAACAACAAACTTCTCAAAATTATTTACCACATTTTATAATCTTTTAATAAAACTTTTCCTGTTTAATTTGCGCACACACCCAAATAACCGGAACGTATGGAAATATTCACAACAAATTGATGAAGTTATGAACAAAATAAATTCAGTTTGCGAAATAAAAATACGAACTCTTTCGGAAGCTTTGAGTTTATGCTTAAAAATTATGTTAAATAGCAGAAAATCAATAACCCAATTATTCGCTCAAGTCACAAGATACGTCTTCGGCTGTACACCGGTACTTAAATATATTTCCGAACTTTGTGTTGAATTTTAAACGAGCTCAAACAGCTGTGCATGGTGGAGAAGTGATGAAAACCTTTTTTTTCGGAAGTTGAGCCGTAATATTTTACTGGTCAAGCACCTAAACAGCAACCAAAAAGTTTGTTGCACTTTTGTTGCCAAATCCAAATAGAGGAAGTGGAAAATGAAACGATTGTATGGCAAATCATGATGAATGATGTTGCGATGAGCTCTTTAATTATATTTGAGTTTCTGTCGGATGTTCTTTTTTGTTGAAAACTTCGAATGTACATGAGAGGATACTCAACCAAATTTTTTCTAGACAGGATTAATTCGAAAAAAAGTAAGAGAGAGAGATTACCAACGCACAGCTGATGCCACCACTTTGTAATAAAAATAATCAAACAACTTATTTTGCGAATCATGAATTCAAGATAGAAAAGCGCCCTCTCTTGAAAACCATATAATTCAGACTCAAGCATTTTCAGTGGCAATAAAGCAGTCAACACATGATTTAGAAATGATTACCAATTATTCCTTGAATATTTGTTCCCTTTATTGATTAATTTCTTCATCGTTCGAATTTTCATTTAATTCTGTATTTATATGAACTTTCATATGTCTCTTCAAACTAGCCGCTTACCTGTCATATTTGGCATACGTAACTCCGTTTTCCAGCATGAATTCTCATGTGAATATTTCTGGTACTCGATTGATTGAACGTTTTATCGCAAACTCGGCAATGGTATGGCTTTTCTCCAGTATGAATCTACAATAGTCGAATGAAAATGGCAACAGTTTACCTCACAAACATCGAATGAAACAAACCCGAATGTGTGCCGTTAAATCACCAGACAGTGCGAATGATTTGTTGCAAAATTGACAATTGAAGGGTTTGAGGCCTGAGTGTATTCCTGAAAGAAAATGCATGAAAACCGAACAGAAATCTTGAATATGAAACAGAACAACAGTAAACTCACTCAGATGGATATTCAAATGTGTTTTTCGTGAAAATCGTTTTCCACATGAACAACACAAATAGGGCTTTTCTCGTGTTTGAATGCGAAAGTGAATGCGCAAATCGTTTTTCGTATGAAAAACTGCCGGACAATTTGAGCATTTGGCATGTTGTGTTTCTTTCGATGCTGTTGCAATATAATTGCTGTTGTGAAACATTTTCCACAATCATTACATTTGAATTGCTTAATCCCCGTATGTATCGACGTATGATTCATAAGAGCGCTTTCTTCATAAAATGAACGACCACATTCATTGCATTCGAATGCTTTGGAGCCTGTATGTGATCGCTCGTGTAATATGAGTAAATTGACGCGAGTAAAATAGGATTTTTCACATTTATCACATTTATACTTTTTATCAATAATTTGGTCGCTTCGAACGGAATGTTTTTTAACCAAATGTATTTGCAAGCGTCTGTCATTACTGAACGATTTTTCGCAAACGTTGCATTTGTTTGTTGTTGCTTCATCAACCTTGTCCGGAGTATTTCGATTATTTGTATTGCTATTCGATCCATCAATCTTCTCAATTGTCACATTTGCCGCTGAAATATACGAATGCAAAAATTGGTGTTTCTAAATTCAAACAAAAACTTTATTACCAGACCCAGTGGACAATGTATCTTTCCAAGTCCGTAACATCCTACCACTTTCTTCTACTTGTTGACGGAATTTGTAGAATTGCCGCAATTCACCCAAGCATTTTTCACATATGAATTTTGATATATGATCATCGTCACTAACCTAAAATTCATATTGTTGCATACAATTGACTCAAGCTTTTATAGAATATCTATAAATTATTTGTTGAACTTTTGAATTTACTGAGATATTCGATGAGCACGGCGAAATAATGTCCAACATACGTATTTTATTTAGTAAAGCATCGTCAGCATTATCTTGATCAGTTTCGTTGCCCGCTGTTTGAATCCAAATATCCTCAAAAATTGATGTTCTCTCCGTTGCCAATTCGTTCAAACATGTGCGACAAACGTTTAGCAAATCAGCTGGACTGGTTTGAGAACAAGGTATTTCCATGTTTGTAAACAAAATGTATATTATTATTTCAGAAATTTTCCAACACAATTCGATCACAAAACAATGGAAGTGCTCAGTTAAGTGTCAAATCAAGGCGATAACAAAAGTGACAGAAGTAATGAATTACGTTGGTAACATTGATTGATATTGTTCTGGAATATAGGGGAAAATAACAACACCGAATTCGAATATAAACAAACCGTTGGTCTTAGTAATCAAATAGTATGACTATGAGATTGTTTTATTTCCGATAAAGAATGTTTACAGCAGTTGTTTGCATGTTCTAGTGATTAAATTGAACGATTGACCTCATGACATTGAGATGAGATATTTTGGCGAACGACACACATGATTGCCATCGCTTCGTTATTTATTCGATTCTGGCCGGAATATACACACAAATGATGGTTTTGTTGGCTGCGATATCTTTTAATGCCCATTTGACGGTAACGCTCACCTTTAAAACAAAAATCATTCATCAAAATTGATACAAACTAAATACAGACATTTATATTTCCATCATACCTTTGGATAAGATCTCAACACCGGCAGCGTTTGCACATATTCATAATTGACGCCATTTCTCAGTGGACATTGGACACCGCTATCCTTGCACGCATCTTGGATTGTTGGAAAAAATGTATAGTTGAGAATAGAATTAATACGACAACCGTTCATTTTGCAACATCGAACGGAACAAACCTGGATTTTGTAATGGGAACGGCATTTCAACACCCATAATGACTCCGTGCACAACAGTCGTCACTTGTTCAATATTGTCGACACCCTCATCTGTTTGCGATTGAATAATTATTGTGTTATATTTGAAAAAACGCAGAGTATTTATCGCATTAGAGTTAATTTGGCTTGTAAACTTACCCAAAGCGAAATCCAATTCTATCGATGCATTCGTATGACGTTTGAGCACGCAAGCATTTGCTGTTTCATCGCAATTGGAGACTTTAACTTTGGTGAACTTGCCCCCTTCCGAACCTTAATTGGAAAAAATGGTTTAATAGATTTTTAGAACGGTGTTATGTATATAGTTGTACAAGCAGAATATCAAAGCGACACGCAGAACAAAGTAAGCGATGAAGCCCTTCAAAGCAATTTGTACCTCAAAATATGCCATATCATTTAATTGTATGTTTCACATTTCAACAGCTTCAACGTTTTTACTTTTGTGTTCGCAACATTTAATACACATCATATTTGTATAACAAACGGCCATGTTGATGTGTCATTTTCATCATAATCTCATTAGCCTACAATGCATGACAAATATCCATGTTTAAATCATCACGAATGAAAAAAAAAAACAAAGCCAAAAATCGATCGGCCGTTCAATTCCATGAAAACTATTCGTGAATACGAGACGAGGAATATTTTGGAAACAATTACGACTCACGCCATATCATAAGCTACAGCACATTTGAAGAAGGTGACATTGAACAATGAACGCTTGAACGGTATTGTAAAATGAAAATTATGATAGATCATGTAAAAAAAATAAATGGGATGTTTTTATCTCTTTCTTCCTTTCCCTTTCTCTCTCTCTCTCCCTCTTCCATGTTTATTGCGATTTTATTTGCGATTCGTTACAATGTTAAAACTTGAAAACTGTAAAGATTTTGGGTAGAAAAAAATTCTGAATAAAAAACTCACCGCAATCTTTGAATTCCAAAGCAATAGACGAAACCAAAAACAGTGCACATACTGCGATCGAAATGAAAATCTTACTCATTTTTATATGATAAATCAAAAAATTCAATTGAATCGTCAAAAAGTTGTGTTTAAATGCCAACTATGATTTTCCTGCAACCGTCCGACTGAAACTGAAGCGATGCTTTGAGCTGTGATTTCGATGTCATTGATTACTTTATGTGCCGTGTTCGTCGCCACACGAACAATCCAATAAAAATATGCCGCTGCACAGTGCTGTGTGCGATAGTATCGAACGGCTTGCGCTATTTCACTTCTGTGTATGTGTGTATACGTCAATAGCTCACTGTTGTCCGTCGCTTGATTCTCTTGCCGCCGAAATGTGATTCGTTAAATGAGTATGGCATACACAGTTATACTGACTCCTTAAATATGCGCGTGTAAAAGTGTCATTTGTGCCTCACTTTAGGCTACTTGATGAATGTCGTACAACGATTTAATCCGCATTTCGACACCATCTTAATATGACAAATGGAGAATTATCCCATTAGTTTCAATTAATGTCGATTTGCGTCTGCATTTGATCTCATATGAAAATGTTCTTTTTACATTGCAGTAAACTACTTATGCACGGAATGTGAAAAGAAAAATTACACTACACATGAGGCTCAATTGAAATTGTTCGCGATTTCCGACCATAAAAAGTGTGATAATAAAGAAAATCATGCAACAATGCCATATAACTGACAATCCGATATAAACATTTGATTCTTACTTTTGATTGTAAGAAAGTAGTAGGCATGTTGGGTTGTTTTTTTTTAATATTCACTTTCGCATGTTAATCTTAGTATAAGAAATAATCGAATAAACCTTTTTTGATTTGAAAAAAAAAACAATATTGAATCTATTTATTTGGACACAGGTTCAAAGTACACTGTTTTGTTTAGAGTTTATTAAATAAGTCACACGAACTTTGACTCTAGCAATTTGCGTACATTCAATTATTTTGGTCAGTAATTTATTTATAAAACAAACAAAATGCACATGATTGTAATTGAATCACTTGAAGTCAGTTCAAAAGTCAATTTTTGACTAGAGCAACGTAATACGTGCAGGAATAAGCACGCAAATAATCGTCTTGTTGGTTTGAACATCTTTCAATTCGAACTTGATAGTAACGCGAACCTGTAAAATTTAACAAAATTGATGCGATTTTCATGAATAAAATAAAAAAATAAATAAAAAAAAAGAAATCATCACGAATAAATAACGCTTACCGGTGGATAGTATATTTTCACTGGCAGCGATTGTACGTATTTATGTGTTTGTCCTTTTGCCAATGGGCAAGAAATTCCATTCAGACAGGCATTTGAATTCTCCAATGGAAATGGAATTTCTGTTTCGAGTAAAATTCCATGCACAACAGTTGTCACATTTTCCACAACAACGTCTTCAACTATTACAGTGGATTACCAATTGGAATTGATTGAGTCATCAACATGAGAAAGAAAAACGAGAACGGCGAGTGAAGTAAATCGTACCCAATTCAAAATCCAATTCAATTGTTGCATTTGTGAATCTTTTCAATAGACACACTTTTGATGATACATCACAATCAGAAACCCTGATGCTCGCCAATTTACCGCTTTTCGATCCTACGATGAGAAACAGTTTTCACAAAATATAAATGAAATTAGCAGATTGAAAGCAAAAAGTTGTTTTCAATCGTTTGTCATTTGAGAAAGAAAAAAAAGAAGAAAAATATTTTGACATACCACAATCTCCGAACTTTACTGCATCGGCAAAATTTTCGGATGCACCAAAAATCAGAGCAAAAATCGTACACAAAATCATCAATTTATTCATTTTGACCACTGAATGCACGCAAAGTCCAAATCTAGTTCACAACTCGTCGATCGATTCAAACTGAACTAAAATGGTGCGCCTTTTTAATATTTATATTGTGAGACGCAATGTTCAATGAGTTAATTGTATGTGTGCTGCGGCCATATAATATCACAATATATTCATATCCCCAAATATGATTAACCACGTTTGATTTATTAATTTCACATCTCAATCAAAAATCCCGAATCGAAAAGAATCCCCAATTACACAAAGATGTGAAGAAAGACTGCAAAAAATTTACTATATTTGCCTTGATGCAGTTTCTTTATGATTTGACGAGTAGTTTGAATTGACAGCGGAAAAGATGCATCAAAGGCTACTATGTTGTCTCTTTCGAAATATATTGAACTTTTAATACTTGAGTCCGTATTGGTTTTATGTAACACATCTCTCGTTCGATACTAACAAAATTCGAATTCATAAAATTATGAATGAACCCAACTTTAAATATCTGATCCAATTTCTCCCCTTCCAGAAATCCGGCCACAACCTTGAATACTATTAATAATTCAATGAATAGAGATTGATTCTATAAAAAATTCCGCCAGGTGAAAAGAAAATATTTATTCAACAACATTTTGATTATATGTCAAAGTTTGAATGACGAATGGGGCAACAATTCGCATGTATGTCAAAAATAACATTTTTCAGTTTTTTTTATTGTTGTCAAAATGACAAAAGAAATCATTCACCGGACGGCGGTTTTCAAGCACAAAAGAAAAATGAAATTATTTTCAATCGAAAAAATCAATTAAATCGTTTGGAAATTTCTAGTTTTTGGAATAAAAATACATGTGTTATCATGCGCGAAACAATTACCAGTATGTAATGGTACCCGGAATGAGGACGCAAATTATAGTTTTATTAGAAATTCCATCTATTAATAATCATTTAACAGAGACGTCCAGCAGTGGATAATAAATTTTGATCGGCAATGTTTGAACGTAGGTATATGGAGTATTTGCCATCAGTGGACAGGGCAGCCCACTATTTGAACATGCATTCGGATTATCCAATGAAAATTGTATTCCATTACCATGGACATAGGCCGAAACACATGAAATGCTGTCGTATTGAACTTTTTAAATTGAACAAGACACCAATTACATTGGATTGTATTAATTAAAATAGTAAAATCAATACAAATTGATAAGAACCTGAACTGTTCTGTTTCGCCTTTCTGAAATGAATTAGGAAAAAAAAACACCGCAAATTTTCTTTCATGACAACAGACAATATTCATTCTTTTATTTTATAATAATTCATAAGTATATTACTGTACATAACTCGAAATATTTAGTTTTGATTTAACTTGATAATTGTGATTTGAGTTGCTTAAAATATATATGTAGAGAGAAAAGTATTGGTGTTTGAACACGCTTATGTTCTCATAATATTGATTTGTTGTTTTCATTTTGATTTTACGTATAATTGAAAAAATGAGACAGCAATCGAATTGAGTGTAAACGTTTAAAAATGACAAAATATTTCATATGAATGGCTGAGTATAAATTTGTAATCGAAATTTAAATTGGAATTAAGATGAAAAGTTGGAGGTTTTTTTTCTCTTCTTCAAATTGTTGGACATAAATCATTTTTATAACTACAAAATACGGAAGTCACCACATTTAGAAGCCCTTTGAAATTTTTCCGTGTCAACAATCTTTATTTTGAGTGAGTTGTGATGAATATGTAGAAAATGAAAAATTCTAGATTTTTGTGCAGATCAAATTTGGTCGGATGACTTTTGAAAATTGAAAATAGTGGACGGTCGCATCGAATCCCATGGAATTTGTTGAATTGTGAACATTTTTTTTTATTGATTTTTTTGATTCAGTTTGAATGTGTGCCTCAATTCCAACTTAAAAATACCGTTTTGAATTGAATTTCATTTAAATTCACTAAAAATATTTTGATTCAATCAGTTCAGTTTCACATTCTAGCAGTCAGTGCTTGAGTTAAAAGGCCACGTCTAATAATAAGTATATTTTAAATTGATTCAAAATCAAAAGTGAACACGCACAGAATCAAATTGTCTGTTTGAAAGTAAACGAACAAAAGAAATCGATCTTTCCCATTTTAAGTACGTAAGAAATATTCATTTCTATTTCTTTTTTCTCTTTGTTTCTATGTACATTTCAGATTGAATCGCTTTATTTTTGCACAATTCATAACAATTTAGAAATACAAAAATATATGTACGTTTCTTAATACTTCTTTATTTGAAGTTGAAATATTTGCTCGTTTTGGGCTTGATTGATGAAGAATTTGATTGGTTGAAGGGTTCCGTTATTTTTTTCTTTACGATAATACCTAAGCAACGACTTTTTTTTTAAACTGGGTTGTATATGCTCTTGGTTTTCATAAATACCGGAATTTTGAATACGAACTCTTTTTTTTCCAAAGCATGGACAATAAATACTAAAATGAATTGAAAGAAAGAAAAAAAGACATGAAACAAAACAAAATGAATTGCATTATGACAAAATCACATGTTTTGAATGAGCAAACACATGATGACGTAGACGAGAGAACTAGCCGTTGTTCGGTATTTTAACCAAATTTGACGCTAAAATGTGATTGCAATCCGTTTTACGATCATTTCATAACCGATCACGCTCATCGTGATTAATTTCGTTTTACATTTGGTAAGAGCTAAGTAAATTTGATTTAAATAAATATGATACGCAATGAAAAACAATAATTAAGATGATGACTTAATGATAAGAGTTTGAATTTTCCACTTTTTCCCACTTGTTGCTTGATTTGTTTTTGTCGTTAAGCTTTTGTTGCGCATAAGCACTTATTTCGGATAGTTGGTTCGACTTGTGTTGTTTATCGAATTGTACTGATATTTTGCTTTCTTCTCTGACGGCTTCAATATCTGAACAAAGAAAGAACAAAGGGTCTAACAAATCGAATCAATCTCAATAAACAATCGCATCGTATTACAAACCTGAAAGGAGCACAACAGCGATTCATCAACTGTCATCATTCCCCCGGCATTGTCAAATTCGCCACAGTAATTTGGCGCTGAGAACAACGTTACCAACTGTCGCTTGGCAAAGAATTCGTATCCATCTTCAACTACTTGATGTCCGCGACAAATCAGTTCCAAATCATGCATTCGCAAAAATCGTGATACAACATCAGCACCGAATGTGAATGAAACACCACGATCATTCTCTCCCCAGTCCTATGTGAATAAAATCATGGATTGAGCAAATGCAGTTTTTCGCCAATTTTATTATTACTATTTCAAATATTTACTTTCACTTCTTTATCTGGATCACTCCACAACAGATCACACAATAGGCCGGTGTCTGGAACATCCGTAGGTCGGACAATTCGCCTTATTTGCTCCATATCTTGTAAGTCTGGGCTTAAACCGCCGTGACAGCAGAAGATTTTCTCGTCAATGATCGCAGCAATTGGCAAACAGTTGAAGCAATCCGTGAATGTTTTCCACAATTTGATGTTGTAGCGTCGTTTGCATTCATCAAAGAAACCTAAATCCCAAATGAAGAAAAACAATTTTTTTCGTTAAAACATGACGAATGTTTGAAGAACAGTGATGGTTTACCATAAATTCTGTTAATGCTAGCGCATTCATGATTGCCGCGCAGTAAGAAGAAATTTTCCGGATATTTGATTTTGTATGCCAATAAAAGGCATATTGTCTCCAGTGACTGTTTTCCTCTGTCCACGTAATCACCCAAGAATAGGTAGTTTGTCGGTGGGTAGCCACCATATTCGAATAATCGCAACAAATCAGTGAATTGGCCGTGAATATCGCCTAATGATAATTTGAATGAAAAAAAATAAAAATCAAAGAACGTTCCTGCGTGTTTCATTTAGATTTGATTATGTTATCAGTCAGTGCATTACAAGTGACACTGAGTCCAGTTGTTGTTATAGTCCAACTTACCACAAATGCTGAGCGGTGCTTCAAGTTCCAACAGTATCGGTTGTTGTAGGAATATTTCGCGTGATTTCAAGCATAAGCCTCGTACTTCCTGTTCGGTCATTTGCACGGCTTTTCCTGGCCGACATTTTTTTACTGAAATGAAAAACGCCATTTAGATTGCATTCACATTAACGGTTTGAGTACATGAAATATATGATTCGACATGAAGCAAGGTTTTTGAACAAGGAATTTTATTTCACACGCAAATTGCATTTTGCGGATCTATTTGTACAGAAATAAAAGAGGTTAGAGCAGTTATTAAGGGAATCGAAATATGCTACTTTATCCACGGAGGATGAAATTCGAAACAAAATATGTGTTGATGTTTACGTGGGATAGAGCAAGCAATCGAAATGGTATTACGAAAAATGGTTTGCGCGAGGAAATCGATTTTTTTTTCTTCTTTATCATGAGTCAATCAGCGTGGGTGAGGTAATTGAAATGATTTCGTAAATACATGAAATTATGCTACACGACGTTCTTTGCTCCAACATACTGGCACAGCTGTTTACAATGTAAATTCCATGCACGACCCGTGTGCAAAAAAAGTGACTGACAGTCATTCAGTTGTATGTAGCTGCAAATAAATACTATATATTTGATTGAATAGAAGGGACATTAATTCTCATATATCAAAGCAAAAACATGCAATGATTTCCCTTTTATGGCTCCAAAGAGGGCCGCGAATCTGAATAAAGTTGGGATTTTTGCTCAATTATCGAAAATGCGGTACGATTTTTTCGATTGAATTTTTCATACAAGAATTTCTGTGCAAACTGGAATCTATGGCCTAAGATAGTAGGCCCATGGTATTGGAAGTTTAATACAATAAAAGTTTTGGGTCGTCCGATATCATATCGTGGATAATTTTGTTGATATCTCTTAAAACCACCAATTTTGAGCATTTTTGAGGTTTGTCAACAAAATGGCTCGTAAAACGACGTCTGAATTAAATATCTTTATACATTCAGGTTATTTTCAATGCTTAAGGGATACCGTAAAGTAACTCCAATATGGATTTGATTTTTCTAATAATTATGTCTTTGAAATGTAAGCGCGAAACCGTCACAAAAAAGTTATTTTTCTTCTGATTTTGAAAAAATCAAAAGTAGATTGGTTCAAGACGCTGTAACTCGCAAACTGATCATCCGATTTGGCTCAAATTTTGACTGAGTTCTAGTTAAGGATGGTTTTATCTAAAACTAATGTGGATTTGGCAGTATTTTCGTTATTTCTGTATCAGGCCAAAGACTTTTCAGCCCATGTAGTAAAACTGGCTAAGTTGATTGAATTCAAGAATGTTGAATAGAAACAATCACTTTTAGTTATTCTTTCAGCCAGCCGTCTAATTTCGGACTTTTTGGCTACTAGATGACTATAACTGAAGTTGACTACAGTCGAATATTTTGTTCGAGATAATCACTTTTAGTTACTGATAGTCAGCCAAAAAGTCCGAAATTAGACGGCTGGCTAGTCAGTCACAAATTTTTCACACGGGGAGCTACATGCTCACTCAGGTCGTACTAAAAATAAAATGAGGCGATTGGAGCAAACCATGAAATGATTTGTAGAAATTCCAATAGAGTATGGAAAACAGCTCACGAGAGGCTGGATATCCACAATATATGATAATTAATCCATATAGTGTAAGAATGATGGAGGTCGACAAAAGATGGAAAGACAGAAAGTTGGCTAGTTTGGTCAAGCAAATACTTAATGCAGGCGGCCTCGAGAAATGATGTATCTTTACAAAAGGCCGACACAATGATTTTTTTTTCTTTCTGTGGAACAGTCGTCGCTGGTCTAAAACGTTTCTGCTTGAGTATTTTCTACACAAATCACTCAGGTGAAAATGAATTCAACAAAGAAACACTATCACCAGCAATCACACCCCAGTTAGCAGTTTTACCGAATAGATTTAAATGCGAGAGCAGAGCAACATAGCGCAGCGCAATGTGTCTGCTTTTTTTTGACGAAACAAACTATCAAGCATTGATGGTTTTTGCAAATTTCTGTAGCAACAGCATGAAGGAAAAGGCACACACACACATATATACCAATCGATTTCCTTCTAAAACTATCGGAACTAGAACTTTGTGACACAAATAAACCCCTTTATTGGCTGGTAAACGAATAGTGAACGTGATTATCGATGGAAAGGTTACGGTTTATACCGTGAACTGCAATATATTCAGATCGGAAACAATGAGTAGTGTTTTTGTAGTTGAGCTTCATCAATATATACGTTGAAGCCATATGACAGAACAGAGAGACAGATTTTCCAAGCGATAAATGACCAGATTACTTCCTATTATTATCGATGAATACTTTTAAGTTAATTATACAGAGAAGCGACTTGTTTGGGACGTAAGTAAACACAAATGTTTAATGTTTGAGAGATTTTTGTTTTTGTTTGTTTGTTTGTTTATGTGATGTATATGCAACACCACTTCAAATTTATGCAAGCTTTACTTGAACAAATATTGGAAAGCAAATGAGTAACGAGATATCTTACAGTAAAATGAACTTGAAATGAATCATATGAAAAGTTTCGTTTTTTTTTACTTGTTCTTCTTGGGTGGCAAGCGTCTGCAAAATGAACTACTGGAAATGTATTTTGACTAGTTTTGCGGCTGATTTTATTTACAAAGATTTGTTTTTTTGTTTGTCATTCAGAATAGAAAATGATTTGTGATTCGACGGGAATAGCTGTAGGGAAATGAATGAGATTCGAACGAAAAATAAATGGGAATTATTCGAAATTCTGAGTCTTATTGTGAGCGAGCATTGTGGACATGGAATAAGCGTGTACAGTACCGAAATCAGGTGAAAAGAATTCTTTGATTCCTTTTTTCTTGGCCGGATGTTGGTCTGCTGTTCGTGGGTGTAAAACTTCCTCGTCGAATCGAAGATTTTTATTTGGTTTTTGTTTTTATTTTCGTGTTTTTTTTTCATTCAGTTCAACATGTACACGCAACGAGTTGAATCAATAGAAATATTTTCCATTTAAATTCGTAGAATGTTAAAATAGTTCATGATTAGTCATCGCGCACAAAATTAGTGGTTTGTTGATAAAAGAGAGAAAGAAAACAGGATGACATTATTATAAATGTTTGCATTGAGTGAGGCATTATTATGATTCAAAAAAGGAATGAAAGCGGGCTGGTGCCAATACCAAGCGGTATTGTTAACTAAACAATTGAATCAGACTAAATAACAAAGACAAATATTCCAAATTCATCAATCATCAATGGCGATCCAAATTATACGAATGTTCGACTCTACAGTCGCTGTTACCGTCTGATGAATGCGCCTCGACGGATAGACGTCCAAAATAAAAAAAAATGCCATTTGCGTAAACTCAGTTAAATGCTCATGATATTGGCATATAATCGCACAGAACTTTTAGTAAATCAATTGATTGTAACGTCGCTGACGTACAAATAATCATATTCAAGGTTAAAATCATCGATTGTTTCAATTTGTTTGTCCCGTTGAATGAAAATGAAAAAAAAAACACAACAAGAAATGACGACACTTGAGTTGTGTGCGTTCAATCAATGTCGTGTTCAAACTGGTGCAAGAGGCATTTCCACTGGTAATTTCCATTCATCATTCCACGTTTTCAATCTGTGTCGTTCGCTTAAATTGTAACGATGGCGGGTGGGTGCCTGTGATGCAACACTGAAATCAACTCATAATCTAAATTTAATGAAACTGTCACAAACAGCGCACAGTTTTAATTACGCAGCTCTGAGACATTGTCGAGAGATTTAGTTAGAAATTCAAGCGATCCGTTGAAATTGAAAACTCATTTACTTTGTGCGAATATAATATTGTTGAGATAATGTGTATCCTTCGCGGTGCATGAAAAGAACAATCCGTGTTTACCCGGCAAGTGACATCGACACAGAGACTGCACGAGTGTTTCAGAAAGAATTGACGACAATGACGCAATGTGTACAAGTTAATGAAGCTGTGCTACACGTGTTCAAGAATGCGTGCTGAGCATCTAGTAATAATAATACAATTCGTCCCGTTGAATTACCGAACTTTTTCTCTCCGAATTTGTGACCTGTTCAAATCATGCCGTGCTTTATTGTGATGGAAATGGTGTGGTGGGTGGTCACTGATCGGAAACAGAAACGAAATTCCGTTGCGGAAATCATTTGTTTACTTAACAATTGCAGAAAAAGAATAATCAGGCATTGTGCAACCGAATACAAGGTCATCGTCATCAGTGGGGGCGCCGCCGACAATGGCTTTCAATGAATTTTCATTCAAAAGGCTACCTCATATTTGTGTGTCGTCAAAATCAACTGGATCGCATTAAATTTTGTTGGCTTCATCGACCGCCGTCAATGTTGAAAATAGAAAAAAAAACACGGTGTTTGAAGTTCAATTTAATTTTAAAAAAAAACAGAACAAATTAAAGTGAAAAGACGCCTGAGCGGTGGTAGATATTCGATGATTTAATAAAAACAAAATCATTTCGAATTGCTGGCGACGTCAAGCGCTTTATTTTTTTTTTCTCTGCGTTCCGAAAAAAAAAAATTGTGAGAAATGATTTACGATCTCATTTTGAGCTGAGAAAAGTTTCAAGCGCGACACACAGCCTCCACTTGATACAAATCAAGGAAAAACCGGCAAAAAAAAATCGTTCATTCGTCAATTCGTCGGCATCGACGAGCATTCGAATGATTGCGCGCCACTACATTGTTGACGATATAAAGTTCAAATATTTATAAATTTTGTGCGGCGATAGAAATTAATGTAATTCACGTCATTGAAAAACGTTGAACAGCTGAAGCATTTTGTCGTGTCTTTTACGAGTGATTGGCATTTGTAAATTGGCCACACGTTAAATGGCTTTCGCGAGAACATTGAAAATTCGTTGATTCGTAACGGCAAATTCATTCAAACACACTCTGGACCACAGTGTGTGGCGGTTTGAATGCCAACACTGACCATCACTGTACTTTCTTCATTTTCTGCTCTGATACTGATACTTTACACCACGAACTATAAACATCTCGTACGTGATGACGACGACGACGGCAGCAGCAGTAATGGCAACGGCAAGTTAGTGCAAAATTTGAAAATTCGTACTACAATTCTATTTATACTGGATGATCATGAATATACATATACGCATCGAGTGTAATGTGTGTACGAGTCGAAACATGTTCTTGTCTCTTTCTCGTATACAATCATTCTTATGTTTCGGTTTTGCTATTGTAGTTCTCGTTCTGTGTTTGGTCTGCACTTTGCTGATCTATACATCGCTTGATGATATTATTTTCTGCGGTTGCAAGCACAATTCATTTTTATTTGTTGTTATTTTTACGGTCGGTCTATTAATAGGTAGACGGTTGTTGTTCAAGCGAAAATGGTTTCGTTGTAAAATAGGGAGAGAGAGAGAGAGAGAAAGAGAAGAAAGAATGTTATGACTTTTAAAACAATGCGCAAACTACGTAGAGCGTGGCATAAGCGGAGAATTCATCAATTAAAATGAATGGGAATTAAATCTTCGCTCAACAAAACATATGAACCACGTCGCTATGCCAATTCTGCAGCCAATACGAGTTATGAACCAGTTAAATGCGCTTGAAGTATGTGTCACACTTTATTTACATTTATGACAACAATAACTTCGAACACGCTGTGTCACAACTTATCATCATTATAGAGAGAAATGAAGCAACAGATAACCGTTTTGATGGGTGATTTTTGCTTGATTTATTTGGAGGAAATTTCGGCCATGTCTTACAAGTTCATTAAGCGTCAGGTTTGATACCGTTATTGCTTTGAAATATGACGCCGCAAATAGCATAATTGCGATGATAAGTCAAATCTTGAAAGTTTTGAGTCGAAATCAGGTTGTCATTAAGGTTGTAAATCGGACTCTCTTTCTCTATCTCTCTCTTTCTCTCTCTCTCTCCCTCTCTCTCTCTCTCATTCGTTCAATGATCTCCATTTTGCGAGTAACAATGAGAAAAGAATGGAGTCTTATGCATGCGAAATACGAAAATCAAGTAGAAATGCACAAGAGCCATTGCAGCTACCTCAACAGAATTAACTTCAAAGCGTTTGTGTATGTTTTTGCTACTGCACAAAGCATGTTGCTTGTCACGCTGATATGGTCGCACGACGAATAATAATATTATTTTTTTAACTAAATAAAGTAAAGAGAGCAAGAAAAGAAACATCGCGATTAATAACGGCCAAAGCGGTATAGTGAGTCTGACTTGAAATCACATGTAGATACAGTTTTGCTGACGTTTCACGGCATGAAATTCTATGAGGCGCGCGCGGCGTTCTCACACTCTTCCGCGGTTGTTAAATCGTAATTTATCATAACTGTCTCGGGTTTTCTTTTCTCTTACTCTCTTACGCATTCTCTTTTAATTTTTAATACTTTGTTTGGCTTATCGTAACAACGTTGAGTACAATAATGCGTTGGATTTTCAATCGACTAGTTCTTATTGTTTGAGCAACATTTTGCCAACGTCCAAGCTCAAATGTTACAAGCCACGTACGATTCGCGTTGATTCATTGGCTCGATAAATGGAGTGAAAAAAAAAACAACATGCAATTATCTATTTATGGCATTTTCAAATTTTAAGCTGTGTAGAGATATGTACAATTGCACCAATTGGCCATGTGTTCAAATGAGAAATCTATCGATGAGTATATCGATGAGTGTCAGCACAAATCACACGGACACTTTCGTTCCGCGAATAAATGATGAAACCACATTTTGTTCCTTCTTTTTTTTTTTGCTCTGAATTTTCGATGAAATTCGAGATTGGCGTTATGCTTGAAATTAATCAAGTAGTATTAAATAAGTCCGTATCATTTTCCATATATTTTTTTTCTTCATTATCGCATCGTTCGATGAATCATTGTGTTATTTTGAGCAATACATACATCGAATGTCGGCTGTGTCAATATGCCAGGCGGATTGCGAACTCAGAATCGCGACTCGAATTCGAATAGAAACCGTGATAGATTTCAATTGGTGGTTTAATATATAAAAATAACATCATGTCAATACCGTATTTGTTTTGATCGAAAATGAACGTGCACACCGCGTGCTATATCAATACTGCTGCTCATTTTTTTCTTTCATTTCATTGCGCTCGCCCGCCGTAAATTGATCTCAATTTTCAGTAATTTTAGCCTCTCTTTTTCGATCAAGATGATCGTAAAAATTATATTTGCTATTGCATGATTGACGAATGAAATTAATTTTAAATTGAAGCAGAAAGCGCACACAACGATTAACTTCGCACACATACGGACGCCATCACACCATTTTTGTTTTGTTGGCAAAAACTGTACTGTATCGCACAACAAACTTAATGCATATTGCCTTACGATCACTTGTGAATTTTCTTATTTAATTAAAAATACAGTAGAGCGCAGAAACAGCCAAAACGATATATGTAATGGTAGCGGTTAGCATTAGCGAAGAGTATGCTCGACGATTGCCGATATTATTTTTCTTTATATATAAATATATATATTTGATGCTTTTATTATTATTTCTTTGCTTCGTTCATTTCTCTCTCTCTCTCTCTCTCTCTCTCTCTCTCTCTCTCTCTCTCTCT